GGCATTTCATTGCTTCAGAGCACTTGGACTTTGCAACTTTAACGCCATTCTATTAACAAAGTTCACAGCATGCAATTAACTACAGGTTTGCCATGTGGCTGCCACGATCACTATCCATTTTTTCTGGGGATATCCAGATTACAGGCTTATCTTGGCCACACTAATATTTTGAGGTATCTCTCGAGATTTGCCCAAACCCACGATAAGTAAATCAAACCTCTATCTCAAACAATGAGGTGTCTTAAATCCAAGCCAGCCGACGTCCTTCAGCAAAGAGCTTGAACAGGAACTCCACTGACACCCAGGCTAGTGAGGCAGTGATAATGCAGCAGCTGGAGCTACAACCATTTATCAGCTGCTAATTCAATCACTCTCCCAACCCAGCCGCTGCTGCCTGCACTGTCTGGGAGACTCCTTGCTTTCATTCATGCCTCACTAAGTGGAGTAATTCAAATCTGTTAAGGTGAGGTAATGAACTGCTGAAACAGAGAGCTCCTTAGGGTATGTGCTGTGTGCACGTTGAAAATGCACATGCACATTACGGACACAGAAAACATCTCAGCTGGGGTACAGCCACCACAGCCATGCCGAAGGAGCAGCTGCAAGTCACCTGTAACAACACCCCAGCATTCTCCATCCAAAGACCAAGCCTCGGCAATCTGAGTTCCATGCAGCAGCCACACCGCTGTAAAAGCCCTACAGGAGACACTTAAACATAACAGACAAATTTAAGGTAAGGTTTGAAGCTGGACCATTTCTACCCCACGACACAGTGCAACCCTACCCACCCCATGGGGCTCCACAGATCCTTTTTCAAGGCCTGTGGGACAACCTGTCTACTCAGTCTCCTCTATCCCACCTGTCTGGGCTGGTCTCACAATTGAGCAGCTGGGTCCTGGCTCCTCGCAGTATTCCAGCCCCACAGCCCTGACACAGGCTCTCCATGTGAGAAAAGATCAGGAGCAGAGGGAGAACAGAAGATGACTGCAGCTCCCCACAATGAGATCAACTGGCCAAAAAAAAAAAATAAAGAAAGGAGAGGGTAGATACAAATTGGTGCATAAACAAGACCTGACTTTGCAATTCAGAGCTAACAGGGCAGTTTACTAAATGTTAATTAAATCCTTAGTGCCTGTTACTCCAGTCATGGAGATCAACTTATTTTTAAATTAAATAAGCAGTAAATGCTTAGATGAACTTCTATTCAATTTCACCCAGTGAGTGAAGTATGTGGGGCTTTTAATAGACATTAAACAAGATAGTTGTGGCAAGTTAGCTGATATTTTATTACCTGAAGATAATGGCCATATTAAATCTCAACTAACTATTCCACTGGCAGCAGAGTCATCTAAGATTTGGTGTAAGTTTTCCTGTCTTGAAGCATCACTGAGCAGGGGGAGGAAGGCAGCTGAGAACTGAATGGCATCTACTTAGAGGGTGCTCATATGCATAAACTCTCTTAAACACAAGACAGGATCCCTCCCAGCCAGATTTGTAAACCCTAAAGAGGGTTGATGAGCTATTACCCAGCAACAAAACTGGAATAAGCCTCATGCATTTCTCCCTGCCCCCAAACCAGCCTAAGTAATTTATGGGTTTGTTGAGGAATCACAGAATTCCAAGGTTCCTTTATGCCATCAAGGGCAACAGAAAACATCCTAACAGCCTGCAACACTCAAAAGCTTATAACTTTGTCTAAGAAAAGGTTATCAGCAGCCCACAACTCCACCGATGTTTGTTTTCCTTCCCTGAGCATATTGTGATAGTTTGGAAGTTCTTCTGACTCACACGTGTGTGTCACTGTCACCCACAGATCCCAACAACAGATACTGACAGATAGAAACTTGCTGACAGTGACTTAAAAATGATCATTTGCATGCCAGCTCTTGCAGTTGCTCAGAACCTGATTGAAACCAGCTCTTGGAGATCAAAACAGAATCTCCACTGAGTTGTCTCTACCGATAACCTTAATTGCAATGATTAAGTGTGGATAACGGGTTTTAGTTTTTTTTCATGTTTGGACTGGAAAACATCACCAGCCCTACATGGCCTGCCATGCCCAGGAGCAGGATGAATGAAAAGAACCAACCCTACTAAACTCTCCTTCTTAGGCAGGCATGAGCTCTCAAAAGCTTTAATGTTTTGTGGAGTTTTTTCCTGGTCTGTGGTTTTCGGTTAGATTTCTTGTTTTCTTTTCTCTGTTTGTTTCTATCTTGCAAAGCAAAGAGCTTTCTAAATCAGAAAGAGGAAAACACAGTTCTTCAAACATTACTGATGCTCTCCTCCAGCACCCAATGCACACATGGACACCAAACACAAAATCTTCTCTCCAATCCCTCCTCTGGAACCCTTGTTTGTTAAAGTTATTTCAAGTATTTTCCTATGTATGACCCATGCTCTTTAAAGGCACTTGTGTACCTGTGCATCAGGTAACCCACATCCTTTTATAAGTTATGGTTTCCATCTCCTTTGCTCCTTCTTCCTCTGTTCTGGCTGCAATTGCAGCAATCTCACTAGTTTTTCACAGAATTACACTGCTACGAGAGTCAGAGCAAAGAGAGATGAGGAAGCTACTGGGGTGAAAAGACTGGCTATGGAGGACCTTGTCTTGCAGACAGGAGCATCACTGTCAAATTCTCATGTGGACACAGCAAACACAAATGATGAATCACAGACTTCTGCTGGGTCACACAGACTTCGTCTTACTTCCCTGAAGGTTTCTCCCCATCAAAAACAAAGTAGCTAAAGAGCTACACACATACCTAAAGAATATATAAAATATCCTGATTTGGAAGAGACCTGCTCTTGGCCAGTGTATCATCCTGATGCCATCTTAAGACCTCTCCATGCATTCCCAGGGACTTAGCTCCACCTTAGCAGGGCTACCACAGAGCACTGGACAATCACATAAATGTGAAACCCAGCATCTGAGCCAGATTCAGAGTGTGCAAGTGTTTCTCAAAGCCATGTCAGGGAGAGAAGTACTCAGTAGGAGAAAGGCAGAGCTATGTGGGTCAGGTTTTCAGAAGCTTGAGGAGCAACAAAATGAGGAACCACTGAGGATGTATTGTTCACACAACCATGATGGGCAGAGCAATAGAGAAACCACTGCAGGCACCCTGAGGGTATTTCTTTCCACAGACACACGGAAACTGTGCTCTTGAAAAAATTTGTCATCCACCCAAGCTACTGCTTTTCTCTATCTGTGTCTATCTAGCATCAGCCAGAGATGCTTCATGGAAACCTACATGAAACTGTTTCTTCTTTCCAATCAGACGTTTATGATACAATGGGTGCCACCCCAGGCTGGGACAACTCTGAATGTACCTGACACTCATACAACCATCCCATCTTCTTTTCAGACTTGGCTAAACTCCTGCTCTCAGCAACATTCTGCATTCTAAATGCCACCATTACTTACACTGAAAAGCACCTAACTCTCTTCGCTTTGAATCCACCAGGTTCACAATTGATTTCATTTGTACAAAGGAAAAGACATCCCTTTTCCACAATACTCACTGCTCCTCTGACACCTTGCTAACATTGTAAGACGGGCAGGGGGAGATAGACCAAGCCAGTAGGCAGAGAAGTTTTCAACAATAAATCTTTATCTGTGGACACACGTATTCCCCAAGGGAAATCCCAGAGTATTATTTAGCCTTATGTGGGTCAGTCCTCCTTCAGTAAGGGTGGGTATAATTGGAAAGTCATCCACATCCCTAAACTGTGCTGCACAAAGAACACAGCCACATTACTAACAGAGAGATGAAATGCTGCATCCTCTTCTCCAGCTCTGCACGGTCCCATATTTTCCTAATATCCCATTTCTCCAATTACTTGGTGAACCAGCACCTGCTGTATCACCCAGCTCACAGGCACTCCCCACTCTCAGATCTTGCCCCAGAAATCATTCCTGGAATGTATAAGCACAAACTCTACAGGTAAATAAGTTCATGGAAGCAAAGAAATCCTGAAATGTGTCCAAGAACACTTGTGACTTCTATGTGAGACCTTCCTTTTTTGCATGGGTCAAAACCCATTTGTGCAGAGGGACCAAGGTGCTCCAGATGTGCAGGGAGACATCAGCAACTTTGATGGCTCCTGCAAGCTCCTTAGACTTTTGTGTACCAACTGCCTAGCAAAACAGAAAGAAACTGACAAGAAACTAGCACAAGAACAACACAACTGGGCTAAAAAGTCAATTCCTACAGGTGTAGGAAAAAAGAAACAAAAAAAAAATAATCAAAACAAAGCAGGAGAATCCAAGTCTCGTTTGTTTCACCGGCAGGGCCAAGCTGCACCTCGAGACACAGGCAGCGGAGCAATTAGGCAGGAGTTGCTTCATCAACGCCTCCTCGGGAGCACTGCCGGCTTCCCAGCACAGCCCCGGGGCGCGGGGAGTGCTCCTGAGCAATGGCAGGAATAAGGTTTGCCTGTTCAAAAGAGGAGAGCAAGAAAGGGGGAGGAAAAAAAAACCAAAAAAGACTACTTAAAAAAAAAAAATAAAAGCCGTGGGTGACGTCAGGGTGTGGGAAACTTTTCGGTCCTTACCTGGTGGGGAAGGCAGAGCCACCCCCGGAATATAAAAAGCTGCCGGAGCTTTACACAACTTATTATTTACCAGGAGCCGCGGCCGGGGGTCGGCGGGGCGGGCCCGGGCAGCCCCCGCCCGGGCCAGGTGCACCTGCGGCACCGGCCC